TGTGTGTGTGTGTGTGTGTGTGTGTGTGAAAAATCTTCCCACACCTCTTCACTGCATGCTTCCTCCATTAGCCTCAGCTCATTGCAGCCATTGTTAAACCATTTACAGAGGTGATAATGGACGATACGGAGGCCCATTGACATGAAAAACAGGCCCCACACAGGAAGAGTCGGGATCTGAGAACAAGTTTACAAAAGATGCAACACAACAACAATACTGACACTTTCAACAGGATGTTCGAGGCGTCAAATATTAGACGCTTTGATTAAATCTAACTGTGTTTCACATCTTCAGGATGAAGCCTTATGTCTCTGCAGCTTTTCTGCCGCACGATAACAGAGCTCGTTTTCTCCGACGTGGAGGTTTTTTCGAGTGGAATCCTGTGTACGCACAGCAGACAGCTGCAGTCGAACGTTTTTCTGCACGCCTCGATGAACGGCAGAGCTCTGTGTTTGCGCTGCTCGTTCTTTACAGCTGGGAGCAAAACAAACTCAAACCGTGGTTCAGTCATGGTTTCAGATGTTTAGATGTAACTTTTTTTTTCATCCTGGAGATGGAAATAAAAAAATCACAGCACCACCTAGTGGCCCGGCATGGAAGCATACCGATGAAACAAGCCTGGGGCACCGTTTGACATCGTAAAAATGTTAACACTTCAAGAAATCATGTGAACAAAGTAAAAATATAAAATTCAATTGGAGGTGTGGTTGTGGGCGAGTGTAACGGAGTATAAGCCCACCCACTTCTGTTATGTTTGTCCAATCAAATGTCTAACTTTTTCTGTCCCTTTTTTTCTATTTTTGTGTGTTGTGCTTAATTAATTAAGCATTTAAATGAATAAAGGTTATTAAATAAAAAGATAACATTGATTATTTAAACAGCTGTGGTTCATTTAATAACATTTACTGAATGTTTCAAGGTAATCTATTTTTATAGTTTCCATTTTTGTGACAAACCTTCAAGTGTATTCATTAATCCAGACTCTGATGTTATACTTTAACTTGTTTAAATCAAAGTACATGATCTTTGTATCACTTGAAATACTCAGGTTCTTTTGAAGTAAAAGTGTTGTAGCATCAAATGGCACAAAAAGCTACAATGTTGCCTCAAACCAGGTCTTTTCTCAAATATGAGACCTTTAAAGTCCACAGATATTCTGAAACAATAGTGTTGGCTAAAATGTTTCATGTTGCTAATTCAACCTGAGTTTAAGAAGTTTGTTTGTAAATAAAAAAGTGAACCAGATTTTAAAGATTTCAAAATTTTAGGATATCTGGAAGTCAGCCACTTTTTATTTCTGGTTTTATAAAAAAAGCCATCTTTACATTATTACCCCCCAGGTGTCAGCTCACCTCATGTGATAATGGACCTGACAGCTTTTGGTAAACAGCTGATAAAGGTTATCAGATGTTTAAATAATCCTAATCCCAGTTGTGGAGGAGAAGAAGAAAGTTAAATATTCAGGAATAAAGTTCTGTCCCTGAAGGCAGCACGGCCTTGGACACTTTATAGATCTGATATTTTCTTCTCCACCACTCAGCTGATTTCACTTCCGGTTGTTTCCTCTGGATCTCTTCTCACACTTTAATCCCGTCGACCTCCCGCGTGCGCATCCATTACATCTCCATGCCTCTCCATGCGCCCTCCGTTAGGAGGAGGCATTGACATTCACGCGCCTCCGTCTGCACTCAGGCCTGATGTGGATTCCACAACACAAGAGTCCGAGCCCCCCCCCCCTCCCCCGGGATCCCACGGAATAAAAAAATAAAAAAAAATAGAAGAAGTTCTTGGAGGATTTCATTCAGCTGCGCGCACAGCCTGGCACCAAACCGCTCCATTTTACGCACCAAACAAACAGAGTCCTTTCAAGATATGCTGTTCTGAGATTATTTTTCTGGTTATAATCTGTGATAATCTGACATTTTTATTATAATCAAATATTTACAAATGATCTTTTGATCTGCGGGAACGAGTTTAACTCTCAGAAGCTGCAGCTCCAACTTTTTTATTTCTCTAACGTGTTTACATTTTTACAACACAAAATAAAAATGTTTCAAATAATGAAACAAAACTTCTTTTCTTTGTTTGTTTTCACCAGGTTAAAATATATTATCGTTTTTTTAAATAATAATGGAAACGTTTCCTTGCAGCTGTGGGAGCGGGGGGGGGGGGGGGGGGGGGGGGTTTGGGCGCCCGGGTGGGCCCCTGCAGCCGCCGCGCCAATAAACAGCACGCCAGGGGGCCACATTGGCCTTTTGCGCGGGGCCCGTCCTGGATCCCAGCTCCGTATTCAAATGTTGGGAGCGCGGGGCGGGACCCGACAGCACCTTATAAAAGACCAGCAGGTCCACAGGTCTGGACCGTGTTTGCGCGCTGCTCCTCCGTCCCGCACCAGCCGCGTCCCCCCCCCCTCCTCGGCCTCCGGTGGGAAAGACAGAAGGAAACGGGCCACAAGGAGAAAGTCCAACAAAGTTTCAAAACAATGGATGACTGAGTCAGAAGAAACTCTGACCTGAAGATTCCACAGGAGCGTCGCTTTTCCACGATTTTCACGCAAAAAGTTGAAGTTTCTTCACGTCACGAATTTTTTTTTTCTGTTTGGATTTTTCCGCTGAAACTTTGCTGAGGATTTTATATTTGTTTTGACTTTTTTAAAAAAAAATCTCCCGTCTTAGATCGATTCTTTCCCTCTGAAGGCTGCAGTCTGGGATGTTGAGCTCCGTGAAGATGGAAGCGCACGATTTACCAGAGTGGAATAGTTTTTACAGCGAGGCCAGTGAGGTAATCCCACCATATTCTACAAATTCATTCAAGCTTTATTAATAATCCAACTGCTTGTTTTGTGGTGAACAAAGTTTGGGTTTTTAAATTAGAGGAAAGAAGAGCAAAAGTTTATTTGCGCAACAGGATTAAAAAAACACACAAAACAAATTCTTTAGATTATTGCAACTAGTAATAAATAAATAATGATAAACTCTTCTAGAAGTGTTCAAATGATCAGAAAACTCCAACCATGTCTGTAGAAGTTGAAATCAATAATTACAAAATTATAAAACGAAAAGATTTTATTTTTGATCAAACTAGGCTTTTAAATACTTAAATACTTTATTAAATGTAAAAAAAGGATGTTTACAAGTAGAATAAAAACATCACATTTAACAATAATCTTGTTGAACTAAATCTTGTTTTTAATTTAGTTTTGAAACAATAAAATGAACTTTCCTCTTCCTCACACGTTAATGAAACAAACTTTATTGTTTTTCTCTTTAATTCAATTAAAGTTAATCCCATCAGCAGCTTCTCACCTCAGCTCGATCCAACCTGATGAAATTACCCAGAAGAAAGAGTCTGATAATCTTTAACCACCAATCAGTAACCGAGCTGCTTGGTTCAGGTTTTACACGGTTATAAATATTAAAAAAGGTTGAAATTATTAATCTACATAAAACTCAGAAGAAGGAGATTGTTAAAGTTAAAATGTGGAGCTGCTTTTTTTTCTTCTCTTTCTTTTTTTACCCCAGGAGGCAGCCTGAGCTCAGAGGCACCATGACGCGCTTTTTACGCATTTTCAGGTTTTCCCATCTCGGTGTGAAATCCATGTCCTGTCTGCGCGCACTGAGACCCTCATTGTGCATTGATAAGAGGCGCCTTTTAAATGGAGATTCAGGCAGATTTTCCTCCACATTTCACATCTGTGTCACACGAAAACTTTAATTTATATTAATGGATCATTAAAAGCAGCCAAAAAAGTGAAAAACTCCTCCTTTATTGTTTTAAAAATGTTTTTATTTCTGTTGTTCAAACAGAGCTGCAGGAGTTTTCTTAGTTTGGAAACTGAGGTTATTTGTTTATTAGTTATGCAAATTTTGTTAAAACATTTAACCAACTTTATTTTCCCAGACTGACTCACAAACAGTTGTTTTTCCTCAAACATCAGATTTCCAACTCTCTCTCTCTCTCTCTCTCTCTCTCTCTCTCTCTCTCTCTCTCTCTCTNCACACACACACACACACACACACACAAAACGAGAGAAACACTGGAATAGCGTTAAGATTTGTTGGCAGCCATCTTGTAAGGAGCTACTTTTAACACCTTTAACACTGTGCTGTCCTTAGTCCAAAAATACACAAAAAGATCTTTATTTTACTTAAAAAAACATGTTTTTTGTAATGAGCCTGAAAACAAGCTGAATAATGCATCACTTTAGCTCTCACATGTTTTGATTTATGACTTATTTTCTGACAGCAAGAAGACAGAACTTAAAAAAGGAACATTTTTAAGGATTTATGACCTAATATGACATAAAACCCACCAATAAATCTCACTAAAGCACTAGTTCTGATGTTAATTAATACACAACGTTGGACTCCTTTGCTGAGTTTAGTTTTTACTGGTCTGCTGTTGTTCAGGCAGTATCTCAGGACTGGGATAGTTCCAGTGGTTCTCTCGTTCGGAGCACACCTGTCTGCAGAGGTGAGCCAAGATGGACACCAGTTTCTAAAATGGACACCCAAAAAACTCTGCTTCTCTTCCTCTTTTTGCCCTCTCTGCTCACTCGGGCTCAGGTTCTGAGGTCTGAACCGGACTCTGGTCTCACTGCTGCGCTCAAGGAACCAAAGGCCGGTTGGTTACACGAGGACAAAAAGACGTTTCTTCTCCTGCAAAACCCAAAGATCCTGTTTCAAACAACTTTGTACAGAATGTAAATAGAGGTAATGTGTGGGTGGGAGGATGTTTGCATTTATTTATGAAGGGAATAAATTTTAATATATCTTATGAAGTGATCTGTCGACCGGTTACAACCTTAATGTGAGTTTTTTTTTATCCAACAATGGAGAGAAGACGACAAATTTCAGGTTACTGCTTCCTGCAGGTGTTACTGCAAACAGTTCAGCTGACGTTTGGTGTTACGACTTTTTTATATTCACTGAAGTTCTGTCATTTCAAGCAGCTTGTTAGGTCTGCTTTTTACTTAGTGTTTTGGCTTTTTATTTGGTTGATATGAAGAAAAACATTAAGTCAGGCAGAAAAATAATAATAATAAAAAAAATCTGTGGTAAAAAAGTTAAAAAAAAGAGAATAAGTTGTGATTTGTTTCTGTTTCCTTTCACCCAAACCGTTGTTTTTTTCTGTCGAGCAAGCGTCGTTCAGAGGACGAACATTTTAAAGAGGAGTTCAGTCAGTTACTTTACAGAAGGAGGGAGGAGAGATGCACTATGGGAGAATTTACATACAGTACTTTGCACTATGGAGCTCCCACAGGCCAGGTGGGCTGATAGTGTGTGTGTGTGTGTGCGTGTGTGTGTGTGCAGTGCATCAGCTCACTCTGTGAAACAATGAGGGAGTCAAACGTCCCCCGACGCCCCTCAAAATAAGTGCCTTTTCTTCCACCGACGGCTGATCTGATAGGAGACGGACGTGTGGAGGGTCCGCTGAAGGATTATTCTGATGAACTGCAGGAATTTCAGGTCACGTGACATCCTTTGTGTTTTCCTTTCAAGGGTAAATGTCTTTTATTTAAGCTAGCGTGTTGCTTCTGGAACTCTGAACGTGTGCTGATATAATATATTGTTGTTGGTTTAAATGTGATTCAAATGATCCGTGTTTCTTTTTGTTTTTTTTCTTATTAAAAAGGCAAAAATGTGGGGAAGAAAAACCGCTTGTTTCTTTCACAGAAGCTTAAATGTGGATAAAATCATTTACAAGTTTTAAATTAAAAAAACTAAAGCTTGTAACTAATTAATTATAAGCTGCGTTTTCATTGACCATGAAGATGCACAAATTAGAATTTAGAAAATAAATTTGCTCAATGGAAACACGTGAATTTCGAAAAAAATTACGTTTTTACACAAAATGTTTTTGCGCTAGGATGAGGTGGTTTTTCGGCCATATTAAAAATGGTGTTTTTCACAAAACTGCAATGGAAACACTTTTTTCACATCACAGGAGTCACGTGATCAACAACCGGCTGTTTCTACTGGTGAAAAAGACGATGATGAAGAAGATAACAGGAAGTAGTAGTAGTAGTAAATAATAGTAATAATTCTGTTTAAAGGTAATTTTTTTACTTTAAATGATAAAATAAATTTGACACATTTTTTTTCAGATCATAAAAAGATCAAAGTTGTGAACTCTGGTTGATGTGAACAGGTGTAAACTCTAATCTGAGTTAGGGCGGAGATTAAATTTGTGTTGCTGTTGTCAAATTAATTATAATAAAGGGGACATACCTGCAAAATCCACTTTTTTAGCCGTTAAAAACATTTTGTTTGAACTTGGAGTCGTTAGGAGGCAGAAAAGGTGAGTTTAGTCTCTCCTGGTGCTGCAGAGATCTTTATTTTCTGCTTGGGTCAGATTTTAAACCCATTCTCTATTTTCTATGAGGTTTTCTGAACTATTACGTCATATTTACGACGGAACAGACTGTATAAGGTCTGGACTTACCAAATACAGTTTGGTGGTCTTCATTCTCCTATGGTGGGTCATACTCTGGTTCTGGGTCAGACTCTGGCTCCAACATGTAAGGCTGGATGAACAAGACTTCCCTTGTTCACATCTTTTAATTCATTTATAAATAAAAAGTTTCTGCACAGCTATGTAGCCGAAAACCTCTTGAAGAGACAGCCTCAAAACGAGTTGATCTGACACACTCAGAAAAGGGGCGGGGCTTGTGGAATTTACAATAAGGAGGAATTCAGACCAAAACATTGTAGTTCCACTTTCTATAGACCCCAGATTTTAAGGCTTTTAAGGCATCATGTCTGATTGAACTGTAAAATCTGAGCCTCGTGTTTCAGCTGTGTCTGTGTCCACCATTAGTCTGGTTCTGGTCTTTCTGCCGTGTTGTCAGTGAGATCACAGCAACATCACATGTTGGTCAAACGTCTCCTGTCAGAAACCTTTGGCATTCTTTCGGAGTCGTCTCATTATTGTGGTAATGAGAGGTGAACTTGTGAAAATGTGTCACGGATGACGCATCCAGTATCAAAGGTTAACTCAGCTACAAATAGGGTGGCGTGATATTAATTTACAGACTCTGTGCCACCCTCTCTGAGACTACTAATTATTTAAATATTTTCTGTTTGACTCTTTTTTAAAAAGCTAAAACTCTTTTTTAAATTGCAGATGTACTCCTCCCCCAGCACCATGAACTCTGGGCTGGGCTCCATGGGGACCATCAGCAGCTACATCAACCTGAACTCTGCCAACGCCTCGCCCGCAGGCATGAACATGGCGTACCCCAGCACCAACCTCAGCAGCTCCCCCCTGGCCTCCATGGGCTCCGGCCCGAGCCACATGTCGCTCTCCCCCGTGGCCTCGTCCCTCACCTCGGGCTCCCTGACCCAGCTGGGCCCCACTGCTCCAGGCTCACTGAGCTCGCTGTCCCACTACCAGAACATGGGCCAGCCCATGAGCCAGCTGAGCTACACCCCGACCGGGCCCCTGAGCCGGGCGGGGCCCAAGGAGATCCCCCCGAAGCCGTACCGCCGCTCGCTGACCCACGCCAAGCCTCCATACTCCTACATCTCCCTGATCACCATGGCCATCCAGCAGAGCAGCAGCAAGATGCTGACCCTGAACGAGATCTACCAGTGGATCATGGACCTGTTCCCCTACTACCGCGAGAACCAGCAGCGCTGGCAGAACTCCATCCGCCACTCGCTGTCCTTCAATGACTGCTTCGTGAAGGTGGCCCGCTCGCCCGACAAGCCGGGTAAGGGCTCCTACTGGACCCTGCACCCGCAGTCAGGCAACATGTTCGAGAACGGCTGCTACCTGAGGCGCCAGAAACGCTTCAAGATCGAGGACAAGGCCTCCAAGAAGGGCAGCAAGAACCAGGACGGGGGCTCGGGGAAAGGGGGCCACAGCGGGGACCGTCTGGGGGAGGATCAGAGCCCCGCAGGTGGATCGGAAGGAGCGGACTCCGCCCACTCCGACAACTCCCACCCGGGCTCCTCGGACGATCAGACTCACAGGAACGCCCTGGTTTCTCTAGACTGCCCTCCGCTGTCCTCCTCACACCTCCATAGCCCCCCCTCCGCCTCCACCCCCTCCTCCTTATCCCTCTCTGGCACCTCCTCCTCCTCCAACCCCCTCCTCCACTCCCACCCGCTAACCAGCGCCTCCCACCTCCTGCCCAGCGCCATGCAGCAGCACATGGACCTCCAGAGCGACGCCCTCAAGTCCCTGGACCCCCACTACAACTTCAACCACCCCTTCTCCATCACCAACCTCATGTCCAACGAGCAGAAGATGGACCTGAAGTCCTACCAGGACCAGGTCATGGCCTACAGCAGCTACAGCAGCTCCCCCATGGGGCCCAAGCAGATCTACGACAGCCCCAGCCCGGCCGCCATGGACTCAGGCGCCTACTACCAAACGCTGTACAGCCGCTCGGTGCTCAACGCCTCCTAATGTGGACACACACACACACACACACACACACACACACACACACACACACNAGTAGGGACTTGTCTCTGGAAAGCCTCGATAAAAGACGCCGACGTCTCCTCTGATGATGAGCGCTAGTGTCGTGGTAGCAACATGCTATGTGTTTACATCCATCGCTGCCATGTTTGTAATGACTTATCATGAGAACAAACGTATTCACGTGACTTTAATAGCATTTCTTACTTAATGGAAACACTGTAGTTGCAAAACTGTGTTTTTCGACATTAACAGAATATCGACAAAGTTTTGCGCACATTTGCATTGGAAACACAGCTGTAGAAAGGAATGCACGTTTGCACCTTTATGTTGAGAAATGACGAAATCAAAGAGAAGTTTGTGTTGTGGATGACCCTCAGCTACTACCACACCAAGATTTGGCTCGTTCTAGCCATTTTTGGTGTTTTGTTCTATTTAAGCTGATTCACAAACATCAGATTATTTATCTTTGAGTGGCAGGTGATGAAACGAATAAAAACCCAGCGAAGCTGATCGATCCGTCGGTCCGGTTGTTTTTGGCGAGGCCGGCGGTTTCTGCAGGAATCTCAGCACCTTGTTGAAACAGCTCCTGACCTGTGACTGTGGTGTGCGACGTGTCGGACCGGCAGACTAAACAGACCCGGATCCCACCGAGAGGCTCAAAGCAGAGTTCTGCTCCGACAGAGACCCCCGACCCGCTGCTGAGCCGGCGCCAACACAAACTGTCAGCGGCGAGAGGGAAACATTTACGGTCAGAACGCTGAGTCAGCGTTCACTCTTGTTTTCATGTTTACAGTTTCTGCAAAACTCTTCAGCAAAACTTTCAGCTGCTTCAGCTGAAACATTCTGCTCATTAAATTAAAGCTTGGACTTTTTGATTTGAATATTTAATTTTTTTGGAGAATTTTCTTCACAGAAATCCTAAGCCTCCTTGCTAATGCTAATTTTATGTTAACATTAGCTTTTAGCTACAGTATTGCTTAGTTTTTGATTTAAACTATTGTTTTGCTGGTTTTAGCTGTTATTCTGTTTTAATTTGTAGCTAAAGTTTTACTAGTTTAGGCCTTTAGCTAAAGTTTTGCTAGGTTTAGCATTAGGCTATTATCTGCTAGGTTTACTAATCGATTAGCTAATTTATCTGTTACTTTTTCAGCTGCTGATTTTTAGCTTTTAGCTACTGTTCTGATGACTTTAGGGTTATGCTTTTGCTTAGCTCAGATTAACTTATAGCCTTTGCTATTTCTTGCTTTCAGCTTTTGCTTTGCTAACACTAGCTCTCTTCTGATTGTTCAAACTTTAACAATTCATTTTCAGATTCTTTAAACTCTGTTAATTTCAACTATAATGATTCACACTTTAGTTTTGACTTTTTCTCACTGATCAGAATCTTTTGGATTTCTTTCAGAAAATATGAAAATTAAATGAAAGTTTTCCTTTTCACCTGAAAACCTTTTCAAAAAAGTCAACAACTAAAATCTAAAAAACCAGGCCTGGCATATCGCCTGCCACTTTTACCGAAAGAGTTTCTTGTTGTTTTGGTTAAATCTTTAAACGAACATGACAAATCTCACATGATGTTAGCACTCAACGTTTCGGCTACGACCGCAGACGTTTAGCTAAAAACCTGTAAAACTGATGGAGTTAGCCATGTTTGTTTTCCTAAGGTTGCTTATCTGTGGCGGCCATCTTGAATTGGGTTGAAAAATGTTTTCATAATAACTATTTTTTGAAAGTCTCAGTAAAATTTGTTCATCAACACGAGCAGAAACACGGTCACCCTGCAGCTGCAGGTGATCCTGACTTTCCAGAGAATAAAACCCGTGACATGAAAGAGTCGGCTGCTCCCTTCATGTGCGAGAAAACAAAAAGCTGGTTTGTTGATTTTAGCTCCTGCTGTCGTTCTCCTCAGTCGTCCTGCCCTGTCTCCCTGTCTCCCTGTCTCCTGTCTGTCCGTCCATCTGTCCTCTTCAAGCTCAGTCTTTGCACCAACAGAATGAAGGGTTTTAAGTTCACAGCGTCTGAAAATATTCACTTTTCAAACACATAAAATACGTTTTTATTATGACCCTCGCATGCGAAATTCATGATCAACGTGAAATTCGTCAGGAATGCAGATGAGTCTGACCTACACTGCTCCTGTCAACGGTTTTATGATAGACCCCATATTTGAGGAGGGGGCTCCATCTAAAAAGGGGTGTCTGGACATAGAAAAACGCTTATAACTCTGACTGTTCAACACAGGAGCTTCAGATGTATTTTGTTGTTTTGCTCTGATGAAGGCTATCCATCAGATTCACCAATGAGCCCCCCCACTTGGACCCCCACCCAAAACAATAAATCCATTCTGATGACTTGAGTTCTTTGCGATGTATGCAGGTGTTATAAATGCAACAATATCTAGTTTTTTTTGTCATTCCCATTGAAATGAGAAACCCCAGAAACAAAGCAGTGAAACAGACTTCAGCTAACGTGCAGACACACGTCCTCACAGGCAGAAACTGAGCAGTTCATCACCTGGCCTGCACAAAAGAGAAGTTTGTCTGATAAGATAGAGAAGCAGAGGTTTGATACGGAGCTACAAACTCCCTGCGTTGCCTCAGGTATGACTCACCTGCAGAGCTGAAACGTCCCCTCAGGGGTCACATTCAGTTCAGGCCTCTCTCTGCACATTTAACAGATTAGAATATTTACTCTGAATAACTCAGAGAATCCTGCAGTTTCAGTAGAATCACGTCAGGCGCAAAGAAACTCCTAAAAGTTTAACTGTGACCTTCAGTTGATGCATTTTAGAGTTCGTTTTAAGGTTCTTTTATTTGTTTTTAAATCTTTACATGGCCATGCCCCATCTTACCTCTCTGAGCTATATGCCCCTGCATGGTATTTATTTATTTATTTATTTACCGTTATTTAATCAGGCATGGTGTCTCCAGTCAGCCGATCAGTTGCACCTTAAAAGGCCCAGGACAAGGTGAACCCTCAGAGGGGATCGAGCATTTTCAGTTGCTGCTCCGAAGCTCTGGAATGAGACACGTCAGGCAGGCCTCCTCATTGGCTGTTTTTAAAACTAATATTAAAACTTATTCACTGTTTTTAACACAGTTTGAGACTTTGATCTGTTTTAGCTGTTTTTTATTTGTTTATTTTTAGTGTTTTTAGTGTTGATTTTGTTAGTCAGTTTGTTTTTGGCCTCTCACGTACAGCACTTTGTGTCAGCGGCTCTGTTTTACAGCGCTTTATAAATAAAGTTGATTTGATTTGATCCAGACTCTGATCATGAGGACGTCAGGAGGCAGATAAACGTCCAGTTGAAGACAGATGCAGGTTTCTGTCAGGGTTTGGGTTTTTAGTGATTTTTTATGATTTTATTTTATATTTTATTTTATGATTAAATTTATTATTATTATTATTATTATTGTTATTATTATTATTATTATTATTTCAACAGTTCTTTGAGTTCCTTTTGTGTCATATTGCTTCTCTTGCCACGCCCACTCACACCTGCATCCTGTTCACCTGTTGCAGCTGCAGCCACTTCTCCTCATCAGCAGCAGCCTATTAAGTTTCTTCAACTTCACTCGTAGTTTTCCATTTATTCTGCCTCTCCTTGTGACCTGCAAGTTTTTTGTTTTTGTTTTCTTTTTTGGTTGCTACAATGACATCCTTTCATTTTAGTTCTAAAATAAAATGTATTTTTTGTCCTTATATCAGTTTGCAACATTAAGTTCTAATCATTTTCCCCAATTAGGCCAAAATGAAAACCTATCAGGGGCTGTGGGCCAAATACAATAATATAATACAATATATGATTTAATGAAATAAGACTCAGCAAAATGGTGCATCTTAAAAACTGGTCGGTCATCACTTTCACTCTGGTTCTAATTTGTTTCCTGAGGTGAAACCGTTTGTGCTCCGTTAAAAAAAAAAACCCTCAGGCTTTATTACAGCAAATCAGCAGGAGCCCCGTGCAAAAAAGAAAAAAGTTTTATGCAAAAAAGGATTTTCTGCTGCTGCTGTTTTTATTTCTGTGAAAAACCAAAGAGCTGCAAAAAAGGAGGAAAATAAATAAATAAAAAACAAAGAAAGTAACAGAGGCAGCGAGCAGAAAAAAACGGGTGTTGTGTTTCTAAGATGCATGATGCAAATGAGGCGGTGCATCCTGGATCCTGTTAGGTGGGTGCTCTGTTTACACTTGTTACTGCCTGAGGGAGGGACTGAAGCACTTACTGTTTAACCCTCAGGGCACACGCTCCTCTTTTTTAATAGATGGGTGTGATGACAGACGGAGAGAAGAAGTCAGTCAGTTACTTTGTAATCTGAGCCTGAATTTACTGCTAAATTTTACACATTTATTGTCCCACAGGACAGTTTAACACGCACAGCAGACCGCAGGCTTCTGGACATGGAACTAATAAATCAAATGTAGCAGAGGCTCATCTTAAGATGCATAAATCAAACCAGAAACATGAGCAAAAACCCAGTGAAAACTCTGAGGTTTGCATGTTCAAAACGTTTAAAATGATCACAACAAAAACTGAAGCAGATTTCCAAATGAACAATATTCATGAAGGGGAAAGTAGTTGTGTATAAAGCTAAATATATAAAAATAGTTAGGTTGTAGAACATACAGAAAATTATAGTTTAATGTCATCAAGTTATAATGATGTCAATTAAAAAATAGGACAAAAAATATAAAAATGCAGAAACTGTCAGATTTCTTGTCCTGCAGCTGATAAACAGGACGGTTGAGAAACAGTTTGGCAGCTGAAGACAGAAGAACAAAAAGCCCTAAAAAGCATTGGGACAGAGGGACACTGAGAGCAGCAGACATCCAGTTTCATTCAGGCAGACGGACGGACGGCCAAGGCCCAGATAAGCTGTTGGACTTTGCTCCGGCAGCCGTGGGTGTTGCAAAGAGGCTCGAGATAAACTGCCTGGCCTGAGAGACGAACACAGAGGAGGCTGATTACATTTAACCTGGCTGAGGTGTGTGTGTGTGTGTGTGTGTGTGTGTGTGTGTGTGTGTGTGTGTGTGT